TGGCCAATAATTATGGAAGCAATCAAATCATATAAATCAAACAATTGTCCAACTGAAACTTTATATTGAATTTATGAAATAAAGGAAATTAAATAATCAAAGGTTCATCGATTTCCTAATGAATAAAAACCCTAGCCTATGATCATAATTACAGAATCAAGAATTAAAACGAAATTAAAAGATATAAAGAATACACCCGTATAATAATCCTTCAATTTTGTGTGTAATTTTCAATTCCTTCTTGAATCCTTGTGAAATCAAGCCCAAGATTGTGTTTCTTGCCTTCAAATTGAGTGTATTTCTTCTCCCTGGTTGTTCCTGCGGCTTCTAGACGTCTTGTTGCTATATAAACCCGTCCAAATTAGGTTACTAAAGGAGTTGCAATCGTATAAGGAAAGTGCAAAATTCGGGAAAATTTATACCTATGCGACCGCATAGGTTTAATAAAAATGGCCTTTTTCAACCCTGGAGGTTCACTCGCGACCGCATAGGTTTTATACTATGCGGTCGCATAGTATAGCTAGCTTCTAGTTTAATTCACTTTGGTCCTCAATTTTCATTCCTTCACTACTTGACCTCCTTTCTTGTTCCTAGTTGCTCCAATGGTCCCTTATAACTTCCAATTGGTGCTTGGCTTGATCAATTGCTTGATGTGTTCATCGGGTCAACTTTCAGATAATTGCAATTTGGTCCCTGAATTCCCTGAACTTCCTTGTTGCTTCTCTTGACTTCTTTCTTCGATTTCTTCATCTTTTCAACAAATTTTATCTTCCAATTGATGATTGAAACCATCAAATCTCATTCCACTCATTCAGCACATCTTTTGAGTATTTGCACCTTTAGTCCTCCATCTTTCAATTGTCTTCAATTTAGTCCCTTTTCACTTCTTTCTTCTTCCAATTGTTTTGCTTTGTCATTGAGTTCATACTTGGCATGTTGTTACTCTCGTTTTGCATTTAGCTCAACTTCTCAAAATTTGCACATTTGGTCCTCGAACTATCACTTTGTTGAGTTTTGGTCCTTCTTTGGCTCTTTTCTCCTGAATTCCACAATTTCCATTGAAATACCTACATTGCATGAATTTAATAAGATTAAGCCACAATTCAACCATTTTATTCACGTTTAAGTCATGTTTGTGAACCAAATAAGTGTGTAAAAACATACTTATCAGCCCTCGAGCTCAATTCATTGTCAAAATCCCTAACACAAGGGCTCGGGATATTATTTTAAAAATGGGCTCGATACTTTGTCCTCGAGCTCAATGCATTGTCAAAATCCCTAGCCACAAGGGCTCGGGATATTATTTTAAATTGGGCTCGGCTATGTCCTCAAGCTCAATGCATTGTCAAAATTCCTAGCCACAAAGGCTCGGGATATCATTTTTAAATTGGGCTCGGCTATGTCCTCATCTCATTCATTGTCAAAATCCCTAGCCACAAGGGCTCGGGATATTATTTTTAAATTGGGCTCGGCTATGTCCTCGAGCTCAATTCATTGTCAAAGTCCCTGCCACAAGGCCTCGGGATATTATTTTTAAATTGGGCTCGACTATGTCCTCGAGCTCAATTCATTGTCAATATTCCTATCGTAAGGGCTCGGGATATTATTTTACATTGGGCTCAGGGCCTATCCTCGAGCTAAATGTATTTTCAAATCCCAGCCACAAGGCTCGAGCTATGTTCTCGAATCTATTCGTTTCCAAATCCTAGCCATATGGGCTCGGGATATTATTTTTAAATGGGCTCCGACTATGTCCTCGAGCTCAATATAATGTCAAAATCCCAGCCACAAAGGCTCGAGATATTATTACATATTGGGCTCAAAGTCTGTCCTCGAGCTCAATGCATTATCAAATCCCAGGAGTAAGGGCTCGAGATATTTATCGCACATTAAGTTTGGGCTATGTCTCCTATATGAACTATTGTCTATCCATCGAGCTCGTTCTTTTCATAATTTTAACAAAGTTTTCGCTCGAGCCCTTCTTTTCAAATTTTAAATAAAGTAGGGATCCATCCCTTACCTTAAAACATGTTCGAGGTCAAGCTCTCCTCTTTCAAAATTTTTGACGAGGTCAGGGTCTAAACCTCTCAAAATTTTTTAATGAGCTCGAGGTCGAGCTCCTTCCTTTAAAATTTTTAAACAAGGTCTGTACATAATTTTCTTTTAAAATTTTGACAATATTGGGATTGAGCTCGTTCCCTTCAAATTTTTAATAAGGTAGGGATCGAGAGTGCCTATCAACTCGTCATGAGCTCGCCAACCTCTAGGCATGAGCACGCCCTTAACTTGGCATGAGCTCGCCTATCTCTAGGCATGAGCATGACCATTCCTTGGCATGAGCTCCCTGACCTCTAGGCTTTGGCACGCCTATACCTTGGCATGAGCTCACCAACCTCTAGGTATAAGCACGCTCTTATCTTGGCATGAGCTCGCCTATCTCTTGGCATGAGCATACCCATCACCCGACATGCTTGTGCATCTCATCTCAGAAACTTGCATATCGCGCAAGCCTCTGACATGGATGCACTGGGGCCAGTGATGTAGTCACTTTTGGCAACCTCCTGAGGTGATTTTCCTAATGACTCACAAGGTCTCGCTCATCACATATTGGAGCACATAGTCCTCGGGGTGACATAGTTCTCGGGGTAATACACCCGATGAGTGGCGACTTGCATCATCGTGATCTGGTCGATGGTGTCCTCGGGCATAAGTCCTCGAGCATCCTTTTGATATACAGGGTCACGAGTCCTCAAGCTATTCCCTTCATACCAAACCCCCCCCTTTTGTCAAACTCATAAGAAATCTTACCTTCTACGGACTCTAATATAATTCAAACACCTCAACCCAGGACTCCTACGTCCACAAGAATTCTAGGTCAACAATAGCGTCATTGGTCATGCAATTATATTACAAATAAAATACTCTTATCAAGTATGACTCTATTGGATAAGAACATCCAACTAATTCAATCCTACTAGAAGTACACTACCTACCTCTATAAATACATGACCCAAGTCCATTATTCAGGTACGCTTTTACATACAATTTCAGTATACGTTCTCATATAAATTCTCTGTCTGACTTAAGTATCAGAGGGGCGACGAGAACAAACCTCGTTGCCTTTGTTTTAGGTACCAGAAGGCTCTATTCGTGCTCTTTTTCAGTCCTCAAGTTCGGGAGGTCTATCAGGTACGTTTTTTGGTAGCATCAGTTAATATACGTGAATTTTTTGAAATAGGTGGATAAAAAGTAATAATAGTTCATAACATTAGCCAAATATTAATTAATATATATAAAAAGTTTTGAAAGTGATCGATTTGATCTTTATCTTTTCAAAATGATTGGAATTATGTTAGAGGGTGTACGAATGTACAAGAAAACATTTTCATAACCAACTCAATCGCTATGAGAAAAGGTAAAGGTTTTTCATGTTGTTGCAACCATCATAATTGCTCTTTCCATCCTCAATCTACATTCTGGATCCCACCACACACCGTTTCCAATCAAGTGCACCTTTGTTTCACTTGTATCGAACCCTCACTTAAGTTATCACATATGCCTTTGTGCGATTGAAAAGAAATTGTATATAGCTATTTTATTTTGCATTATTATCGCATACCGGTCTTAAAAAATATGATGTTCGATCGGTATAACCTGTTACACTGCTGGCTCCAAAGTGATAAGCTATTTACGGGCTGGCACCAAACTGTCCAACTGACGTGAATTTTATCTATCGCTCCATTTACCATACTTCTTGATGAACACAATGGATATCATCATGTCTCTGCACTCCACCGCACACTATTCTCATATGCCACCACCCGTTTCCGCCTTCATTCTTCCCGGAAAACACCATCCCACCACCTCTACTTCCTCAATTCTTCTTTCTGTAAAATCCTCGCAAGATTCCCCTCAAAACCCCTCCACTAGCCTCCGCCGCCCAACAACTCAAAACCCTTTTAGAACCTCAATCTCACAAACTTCCCAAGTTTCTAAAAATCCCCTAAAAAACCTCATTAATTCTCAAAATACCCCGACTATTCCGCCGTCAGATAGTCTTAGTAATAAGCTGTGGTTATCCAGCAAACTCTCGCCTCCGCCTCCGCCTCCACCTCCACCTCCAACTCCGCCACGCTTGTTAAACGAAACGGTGGAAAGTGGAAAGGGCGATGGTACTTTGGAAAGCACAGAAAATTGTGGTGAAGAAGATGATGAAAGGGGAATGGAGTTTAGGGAGAAAGGCAAAATCTTTGTTGGGAATTTACCACTATGGATAAAGAAAAATGAGGTGGCGGAGTTTTTCAGGCAATTTGGGCCTATAAAGAATGTGATTTTGATAAAAGGCCATGATGATATTGAGAGAAACGTGGGATTTGGGTTTGTGATATATAGTGGGCCCACGGCAGAGAAGGCTGCAATGAAGGCTGTAGAGTTCGATGGGGTTGAGTTCCATGGGAGGGTATTGAGTGTGAAGTTGGACAACGGGAGGCGAATGAAGGCAAAAACTGAAGGGAGGGCAAGGTGGATTGAAGGCAGAGAGGGGGATGGGGATGAGTACAGATCTAAGTGGCATGAAGAGAGAGAGGGGTCGAGGAGGGAGTTCCGAAAGGTTTTGGAGACTCATCCGGAGAATTGGCAGGCAGTTGTGCGAATGTTTGAGAGGATTAAAAAGGTACTTCTATAATTATATGAATGCTCTGGTTAGTTTGCTTGTCATTGATGTCAAGGTCTTTTAAGTATGCTATTGTTGTATCGATGGTGGATTTAACTGCATTTCAATCAGGTTCAATTGTGTTACTGTGAAGTTGAAAAATTCCTCAGTGCATTTCAGCTCATTTCTACTAAAGAATGCATTATAGAAGTTGAAATATGACGAGATATGCCTAGAAATTCATTTTAGGCCAGTATAATAATAAATATGATTTATGAAGTTATCTCACGATGTGAAATAAAATTAGGAATGATCTTGTGGGAACAAAAGAACAAGTATGCTTCCAAAAAAGCAAACCATAGACTTGATTCTTATTAGTAATAAATTTCAGTTTCTATACTATTGAAAAGAGAATGGACCTAAGTTGTGAACTTGCGTTGAAGAGGCTTATTATCTTACACGGAATTGCATGTTCCACTTTAAATGAGAATTAGTTTTGTCGGAGATTGTCAAGACAGAATTGGAAAAGAAAAAAAAGTACAATGCATGGCCCACAGCTGTGCATTAGCTTGATAGACAAATGGATTCACATGGCAGCAACACACCTTGCACTCTTTCAGACGTATATACCTCATGTTAATGGGGGAAAAATGAAATAAACTCGACCAGAATATCGATTTACACATGAAAGAACAGAAATGAATGTACATAACTTATGCGCCCGTTTGGCCCCCATTTTGTGGAAAATGGAAATGAAAATGGGTGGAGTAGTGTTTTTTTTTTTTTTTTTTAAATAAGTGGTTGAAAAAGAAGGAAAAATTCTTTATTTATGTGTAATTATATTTTATGGAAGATCGTGTGGTTGAGAATAGGAGAGAGAAAAATGGAATGTAATGAAATGAAAATTAATGGGGGCCAAACGAGGGCTATGTTTGACTTATCACTGTACCAATTAAGAACATCAGTATGAAAACTTGTTTTGTGTATCATACTTATCCTTCACCTACTGTAAATGATTTGTATTTTCTGTAGCCTTCCAGAAAAGAGTTTGGATTGTTGGTGAATTATTATGCAAGACGAGGTGACATGCATCGTGCACGAGAAACTTTTGAGAAGATGCGGGCCAGGGGAATAGAGCCAAATTTACATGTATTTACAAAGTAAAAATTGTTTTATTGTACCTTCAGCTTTCCAATGCACTTCTAACTATTCGGGAATTTCGATTACTTTCTAGATTTCATGTCTTACTGTTGCACATACTCTGAAGTTGATCTAATTCCCAGTTTAATGTATTAAGTGATTATCTCACAATAAATCCACTTTGCACTGCTGCAGCCTTGTTCATGCATATGCAGTAGGAAAAGACATGGAAGAAGCATTGTCATGTGTAAGAAAGATGGAGGAGGAAGGAATTGAAATGAGTTTGGTGACATACAGTATTCTTGTGGGAGGATTTGCTAAAATTGGCAATATTGAGTAAGTAGAAAGTATGCGTGAATGCATATATTACATTCAAACGCATGGTTTTTTCCAGTTTTTATAAAGGTTGATTGCACGTTCTTGTCAACAATACTTTCCTTTCTCAACCAATTATTTTCTTGTTCAGTATATTTAGTGAAGTTTTCTGGAGCAGTATTCGTCAAATTCTTTGGCTCTATAATTAGAATAAAATTGGGAGTTCCATTGAAAGTATATTGTGTGGATAGCAAATGAAGTCAATACAAGTAGGGAAGGTAGTAGAGGAGAGGCATTTGGTGTATCCCTAGTAGGAGTGGTTGCCTCTTTCTCTTTCTCTTTCTCTGCTATTTTCTCCATTATGTTGCTTTCCTGAGCACATTAAACTGGCACAAGTATAGATTCAAATTAGACTGAAAGTTTCATCATGTCAAGCACTAGGAATGATATGCCATCTTATTAATTCGTTGGCATTATATTGTTCTCTACTGTTTCCTTGATGCAATTTTTCTTTATTAATAACATATTACCATCTATATAGTTGCTGGTTTTCATCTACTTAATGTAGATCATTGCCTGTGCCAAGAGATCAGTGCTCTCTTATCCCTTGTCCTGGAGCACATCCATCAAGCCTAATTCTCGTTAGGGTTTCTTCTCCTTGCCCTTCAGTCAGTTCCTTATGCTCTCCCTTTATCAGTGCCTTTGATTGAGCCTAATTTGATTTCTATTTTCATCAACGATGTAAATGGATAGGCTAGAAGAAGAGTAGTTGATCCAATGGTTCTAAATATATAAAGAAGGATCTCGAATGAACAACCGTTCGCAAATGTCGTATTCATTTGAGGAAGAAATTGTTGGCAACTTGTTAAGACAATGCCGTGTTCTAATTTTTTTTCCTCTTGATATTTAGGCAAAAAAAAAGGCTTATATTAAATTGTAAGTTAAAAGAATCTGTCTAAATAATTAAAGAGACTTTTGCCAATTTCCAGTCTTTATTTCGTTCGTTCTCTAAATTTTTCATTACTTTTTACTTTGTGGTTCTCCAATTAATTACTTTCCTGAATTGATATTGATAAGGTTTTCCTCCTTACATTCTAAACTTGTCTTTTATGTACCTTATCTAATGTTTCTTTCTGCTATTTCTGGAAGAGCTGCAGAGTGTTGGTTTAAGAAGGCCAAAGAGAAACTTTCAACCTTAAATGCAATTATATATGGGAACATAATTTACGCTAATTGGTAAGTTGAATTTAATTTCATGTTAATTTTAGCCTTCTGCTTTATGTTATATCAGTGACTACTGTATAAATTATGAAAGTGCTTTTCCTGCTGCAGATGATAATCTTGTCATTCCTGTCTATACCTTCTTCTCTCTCACTTTCTCTCTTGTCTGTGTGGGGTGGAGTGTCTTTTTCTTATAGGGGAACGCCTATTTTACTATTTCTTTTGATATTATGTACTGCTGGTATCTTCTTGCAAATGAGTTTAATTGATTGATTATCTGTAAGGGCAATGAATTATTGAGTCTGCCACATGCTGTATTTGGCTTGCTTCATT